GATGGGGGCAAAATATACTTTTATAAACTGTTGGCCAATCCCATGCCACATACTGCATAAACTGAGACCCACGAAACTCCCTACTCAAGGGAGCTGGGTCCTGGGAGATAGGTCCTGTCTCCCTAGCCTCTTTGACACACAAATCCTACAAGAACCCTGCGTCCTCCCTGACTTTAATGAATGCATACTCTAATCCATTCTTCTACCAGTCACTCCTGCTATCACCACACACAGTACATGCTTTAGAAGATTGTGGATATTGGAAGACTTATCACAAACCAGATGTTTCAGGTCAAGGGTGGGAACTTGATTTGGTTTGGGGCCAAATTATCAAAATGCTACAAGTATTGTTACCATTTGCATTCTCACCCAGAAATATGAGGCCCCAGAAAGTGTATCTCCCTGGATCAGGATTTACTCTATTCTTATACTGCTGTCCTAAGGGGTCTATCTTTTATCAGTACTGTATTTACATGTTTCCTACAGTTTTCACTTCGTAAGGAATCAGAGGTACTGGAGAATCCTGAACTGGGAATGTTGTAGAAATGAGATAGGCTAAATTTTTTTCTGCATGAACACTTTCATTTTCCATCTTTATTGGAAAAGTGTGAATGTTCTTTGTCATAGTCAGGGGCTCTATTGATGTGAAGAGACATCATGGCCATCCTTTAGGAAAACTTTCTATTGGGGTGGCTTTCAGTTTCAGGAGGCAGGGAGCATGGGCAGCTTGTAGGCAGACAAGTTGCTAGTGAAGGAGCTGCTACATGTTGACTCAAAGGCAACAGGAAGTATTCCGAGTGTCACACTAAGTGAAGCTTGAGCAAAAAGAAACTTCAAAGCCCACCCCAACAGTGGCACACTTCCTCCAGCAACCTACTTCTACAGGGCCACGACTCCTAGTAATGCTGCTCCCTTAGGGAGCCATTTTCTTTCAAAGCACCATACTCTTACACTTCTATTTTTCCATTTCAAATATTCTTTCTTGTGGTGCAAAGGACTGAACCCACAATCTTGCACAAGCAAGGCAAGTCATCTCCCATTGAGCTGGATTCTCAGCCCCAATTCTTTTTTAGCACAATTTCCCTGCACCGCCACATCTCCGTCTCTCTACCAGGTAGAGTGCCTACGCTCTAACTTACTGTCACCCTCACCTACGCATCTATTCCATTCACTTTGATGTCTACCCTTTGTCACTTCTGCTCTTAAAGGTTCAGTTCTTTAGCGTGCACTTTATTATCTTCAACTGCTACCCTCCACCCTTTTAACTGCATTTCTTAAGAAATTTTAGGAAGTCTGTTACTTTCTGATTACACTGTGTCTTTGATGCAACTCATTCAGTCAAACTCAACTGAAACTGGCTCTATGGAAAGCTTCATTGCTAACCTCGAGCATAGGAGCAGTGAGGTTTCTGTCATACCTGGTTCTCACTGATGACAGAAAACTACCACACTGGGCTGAACAGCTTCTCTCGCAAAGGCTCAACAGTCTTTGGTTGTACTCTAAGCACAGCTGTAAGGCACTATCACTTCTCCTTTCAGTATTAAGGAACTGTGCAGGCATGTTTCAAGAACTAAACAGTGACCTGAACTTCATCAAGTAATGGTATGGTCTAGATGTGTGTGTCCCTGTCACCCACCCTAACTCTTATGTTGGAATCCTAACCCCAGTACAGTGGCATTCTGAGGTGGGGCTCAATTAGGTCAGGGCCAAGTCTACATGGTGGGATGTGTGCTCTTAAAAATAAATAAATAAACAAACAAACACCAGAAAGGGCTGAAGTAGAGATCAGTGGTAGAATGCATTCCAAGTGTGTGCAAGTATGGTTTCCAGAATGGCAAAAACTGTAGAGCTTGCTTTCTCTCCCTACTTTCTACCCCAAGAAGATCTGATATGAAGGTGCCTGGACCTGCTTACATACTTGGGTAAAATAAGCCGGGAGCGCAGGCCCCTTCAGTACCTAAAAATGGACAAGCAAAACTGTCTTATTTTTATTTTAAAGACAGCAGTTACAAACCTTGTATAAAATTGCTTTAAATACCATCTGTTTAATTTAAATCCTTTCGAAATGCACAGTCCAGAAATGAAAGTGAGAACTGTGTGACTGTAGAACTGTGAAAATTGTTTTCATGCCTGGCTTATGGGTGCAACCAGAGCCCAAACTGTTAGAGCTCTCATCAGCATACATTTTGTATTTGCTATTACAGATAGACCTAGCTATGCATGTATCTAAAAGAGAACACTGTTATGAACAAGAAAACAAAACATCTGAATGCTCACTGTAGAGGAGACACTGTGAGAAATGTTTAAATGCCCATTTCCCACAAAAACCTCCTAAAGTGGATTTTATTAGCCTATTTTACACATGGGAAAAAGAATCTCAGAAAGGTGATTTGCTCATAATCACCGAAGACCCTGAAATTTGTGTTCATAACAAAGCCCATAAAATAGTTAACATTATAGAATTTCCACATGTTAATATTTATTGTGGTACTCTGAATGTCAAATCACAGCTTTACATTTTTGGAATAGGAAGGATAAGGGTGGGTTAAACCTCTTATTTCCCTAACACACCAGGCAATAGAAAAAGCTTCGTATTAATATAATTTCACTGCTGACACCATAACTTTAGTTAAAAAACTTCATGACTGATGACTTTAAATTGTATCATATGATTTCAATTTGGTCCTAGAGAACTAAGTTATTGGTTATAAGGACGTCTACATTCATTGAACTGTATCCGATTCTGGTCTGTTTTGCCATCAACCAGCTTGTAGCACACTGCCTATAAGCCTTTTTTGTCTGTACGAGTAAAAGCTAAATCTGCCATATAGCAAGCAGTGCGGCTTGGAGACAGTCTCTGTGTACCGCAGCAAGGAATCTGACTGCTACAGCATCTGCGCACCATGGCCTGCATGAGACTGTGAAGCCTGGTACTGCTCAGTTTCTGGGAGTTCTGAATACTTTTTAAGCTTTTGTCAGGTTTCACGTGGAAATTCTTGCCAAACATATGGTTGCCACTTGTAGACTTAACTTTCTGTCCCTCTCAGTCCTGCAGCCATTTAGTCCCAAATTTTAACCAGGAAAGTGGTATTTTAATATAGGTTGAATAATAAGGCCTTCTCTGGTGGATGACTTGGCAAGGGCAAAGGCCTTGATGCTGGAGATACTTGACATGTCTAAGGAAGAGCATGGTTAATGTGGCTGGAATCCAGTAGGCTCAAGGAATTACAATGTGGTTCAAGAGATAGTACTGGGTTGTAGATAATATTAGTAAGGACCTCAGTCCCAATAGGGAGTTGGCATGCCATTGGATCTGAACAGAAAAGGGATACAACCCTAACTTCAGAACCACTCAGACAACTGTGTGGAGAAAACAATCACAAGGAATCAGGGGTGTTAATCCTTTGCAGTGGCAACTGCACATAAGCAGGACAGGCTTAGACCAGGGTAACATGGTCAAAGTGTTAAAGAGTATAGAATGCTCCAAAGGAAGCAACTGGGATATGAAGTGTATGCTAGAGATGCATTGAGGACATTTTAGGCTAAAACAATTAGACTAAGTTATTCGTAATAACTAGTGGATTTTATGCCACAAGTCAGATTAACAGGTTAAAATATTATTTCATTTTACCATGACATAAATTTATGATGCTTGTCAAATTTTAATTTTTCCAAATTTTCTTCAGGTCAGTTTACAACACTGGCAGTTTTCAATCAGAAAAGGTTTTATTACAAGAAACAATGACATCAGGTAAAAATGCAAAAAATTGTGCAATTACGGCAAAATGTTTAAAAATATCTACACATTTGCCCCATGGGACTACAGTACTTACTACATACCTGAGCACTGAATGTTGAATGCCATTTTAAACTCCTTTACATGGGATTCTGTTTCCACTTTTCCTCATGCACCAATGAAACCAATCTGACACTTATACATCAACTTTGTAGGATAACAACAAAGACAGACATAAATAATTTCTTTCCTATAGTTACACCTAGCCCAGTTTTCATTGTATAAAACTACATAGGAAAAGTGCTACATACATTCTTCAAATGCAGAAACATAAAGTGGAATTGGCATTTGTTAGATCTTTTAATCCTGTAGTAGCCATTGTGCCTTTTACTAATATTCTCAGTACTATGAAAATGTACCTTAAGTATCTACATATAAACCCACATATGTCACTAATATTTCCTAGGACCTTTTCTGAAATCATTGAAAGTGGCAAAATATCCCAGCTATGTAATGTAAACAAATAGTTCTTCATACAAAATTCAATATATACTCTACCCTCATAGCAAATTCTAAACCTTGGCTTTGACACACTAAGATGATACCCTCAATGTACACTGTAATAACAAAAAGACCAATTGTTGTACAGATCAACAGAATAAACCTAGTGTAGTATTAGCCACAGTGTGTTGTTCTTTTACATATCATATGGAATACATAAATTGCTAACTCAATGTTCTATGTCTTGTTTTCAAGTAATACATCTATTTTTCTAAATACAGAGATTGTCAAAGTGGCAGGAAATCTTATACTCAACAAAGCTTTCAAAAATAAATTACATGGATATCTCTTGAAAAAATTATTTTTCCCTCACTAGCAATGCAAAACTACAATTCAAAAAATTCACAGAAATAACCCTAAAACATAATGAAACAAAAGAAAACACAAAAAATAGAGAGGTTAAAAAAAATATTGGTTGACAAAGTTAAGGAAGAGATTAGAAGAACTACACATCTCTTTGTGTAGGACATGAACATGCTCATTCTATGAATGCTGTGCACTTGAGTTCCTGCTTCACAGAACCATCTCTACCTGTAGGGCCTTTGAGAAGCAGTCTACAAAGTTTCTGAAAAAGGAGGTATGTGATGGAACAGGCAATGTTTACAATGTGTTTCACAGTATCACCTTACAATTTGTGTAAGACTCCCCCCCCCCCCCCAGTACAATTCATGCCAATTTTCTTCGAGAGAATCAACCTGTTCTGACTGAGGACAGACTCTGGCCTTATGTGTATGTTATAGTAAGCATAGTAATGAGTACAATCCAAATGCCTGCTTTAGGCACAAAAGGACTTGGTTTGTTCTTCATGTTAGTATTCCTAACTAACTGATTCACTCACTTATCCTTCCTTCTACATCGCCTTCAGCTAGAATAAGTGTTATAACAGAAAAATATTCACTACCACTAAATGCAAAAAACAGAGGTTGTAACTGCAATATGAACCTTAAAAGCCACTGAATTATCAGATCATTGCAAGACTATTTCTAGAAAACAGAATTGTAAAAGTAGGTGTAAAACTTCACATTATAAGTTAACTGTCACAGTACCAACAACAGCTGGACAAGTAGAAGATGGATAAAGAGGTTGGGCAACAAACAGCCCATGTTAGTGCAAACTTGGAATTGTAAAACTGAATCCAGTACAAACAGCAGACCTTGTGGAGTCACAAGGTAAAGTGCCATGGCCATGGAACTAGCATGTTAATCTGATAAACAGAGTCAAACCATTTAAATCGATCTACCTAAACATGAATTAACTTATACACATGAATTAACTTATACGAGCACCAGTCACCTGCAAATCTGAGCCCTTTCTGAGATTTTAAAAAGTGAGACAGTGATAGCACTTGGAAAAGTTATAGACAGAAACTGCCACTTCAAAGTTTGAACTTAAAGTTACACAAGAATATGAAACAATCTGACTAAAATTTCTTTCTGAGACTGCGTTTTCTTCAGTTTGACAGAGCACATTAAATCTCATATACTTGAAAACAGTACACAAAAATAGATATGTAAATACATATAAATAGTAAGAATGAGGATCTAAGTTAGTGCTTCTCTGTGTTAAGAGAGATCACAGCTAAATAAATGATATTGCCTCATACTGTTACCCGTATTTAAAATAAAAAGTCACATGAACTAGTTTGGATGTCTCTACCCAGGAATACTCAAACTGCTTTTTAAGAGTGCATAGTTGTCTTGATTCACCTGGTTTCTCAGGGACTATTTATCAAAGTTCTAGAATGATACTTTTATGCTAGGGGTGGAAAAATGCTGATAATTGCACTTTGTTACCTTTCCTTACTGAAATGAAAATATCATGAAGGTAAAAGCAATCCCTCCCCACACCACAACCTTTACAAGCACCCATTTCTGTATACAAAACTCTCAGCTTTCTTCAGTGTTGACAGCATTTTCCAAGCAAGGTTCCTTAGTATGCGATGCCAGTAATGTGCTGAGGCCTCTACTTATTAGAGCACTTTCTGAAGACACTGAGGATACAGTTTAGCCACAGCACACTCAAAATGGCGGCCAAGGTCCCACAGCCGATCTGGGGTCTCGTATACTTTCATCCACTGGTCAGCAACATCATCATACTGGTAAAGAGAATTTTTCCTGCTGGTTCTGAAAATATGCTCTTCAACAGTCACTTGAGTTGCTCGAACAAATAAATGGAGTTTATTCTGGAAAAGTACTAGCTTAAGGTATGGATTTATAGATTGATCACAAGGGAAGTCCTTCTTACGAGTCCATTTATTCAGCTCTATGTCATAGGCTTCCACAGTAAACACTCGCTGATGATTCCCACAGGTCCCAGCTATGTAGTAGATGGAATCTTTGTACACAGCGGCCAAGCCCTGGGTTCTAGGCACAGTCATCGGAGTTAAAAATCCCCAGTAGTCTCTTTGAGGCTCATAGAAGAGGAAAAATTCTCCTAAAAGAAAGAAACAAATACGTGAATTTTCATGTTTCGTTTATCTTTAATTTCAACCTCTGAAGATTAAAGAGCATACATTTTCCTAAATATATACAGAGTATATGACTCCTAAAATATACAGAGTAACATTAATATTATAGTCAACCTATGTTGGTATGTATGACCTGGGAGGAATAAGGCAGGCAACATGCACATATACAACTTAACCATAAAAATCCATGACATGTGTGTGTTACCTGGTTAGAAAATAGCACATGGAATTGTTTAGATTTGTGTTTGTCAGTCACTGATGTGTTTGCACGAAGTTGTTATAAAGATAAATTTCAACAATTTATGGAACTGACTAAACTGGTAATAAAAGGGTGTGGTGAGTAAGACTGCCAATAGGAACATGTAAGAATTAAAATAATGAAGATTTACAAGATCTTGCTAATGATGCATTGCTTGTTTGGTTTTTTTGTTGTTGTTTTGAAATAAGGTCTCTAGCGTGAGCTCAGGCTGGTCTTAAGATACCTTGCTCGACCTTGATATGGGGGAGGGGCTTGGTCCTGCTTCAACTTAGTACACTAGACTTTGTTGACTGCCCAAGGATGGCTTACCCTCCCCTAAAGAGTGATAGGAGATAGGAGAAGGGGAGGGAGGGGGAACTGGGGTTGGTATGTAAAATGAAAAAAATTAAATTTAAAAAAGGGGGGAAAGAATATGAGAATATGTTGTATTTTTTAAAAAAAAATCTATTGTCAATAAAATGTGTTCTTAAAAAAAAAAAAAAAAAAAAAAAAAAAAGATCCTCCCTTCTACCTCATCCTTCAGAGCTGGGATGCTGGGATTACATAAACATGCAGCTATGCCCTGCTTAATGGGACCATTGTATGTCTTTGTAAAACAATATCAAGTTTATAGGGAGACTAAATTTAAACTTTAGCAGTTACAGGTAGAACAGGTTAAGCATTCTTTATCTGAAGTGCTTGATTCTATATAAATTTTAGATTTTAGAGTATCTGCATACACATAACGTGTTGTGTTAGGGAACTACTCCAAGTCAAAACACAATTACAACAGTATCTTCATTGCCTATGTTTAGATTGTGATCTGTTACATAAGGTCAGGTATGGAATTTTCCACAACAGTCCTCAAAAAGTCACAGATTTCAAAATACTTTTGACTCTTTACATTTGGGAATACTCAACCTGTAACCTTCAACAGTTTTTGTCAAGTTATATATGTAAGAAAGCTTCCTTCAGGTTAGTAATGAATACTGGATTTTAAGTACAGCTTCCCTTTAAACTATTCTAAATTAGGGATATTCTCATTTATAACTTAAATTGCCTACTTAACAACAGTGATGTTTCAACTCCAATTTTATTTAAGTTCCAACTTTTGTTTACATATTACTTCTTATTTGCTAACATATTACAGTATTCTTGACAAAGAAAATGGAAGTTAAGACATTTTTACATGTCCTAATTCTCTACAAATTTCTTATAAAGAAAAGCTGATTAAAAAAAAAAAAAGCAAAAAGCTCAACTCCTCTTTAATAAACTAAAACCAATGTTAAGCAATTCAAAAGACTCAGAGCCTCAGATTCTTTTTATATAAAATACAAAGTCTGGTTAAAAACTATTTTGGTCCAGATAGCCTATTAACTCATTGCTGTCTTGCTACAGTATTTGCATTAATATAAAATCCACACATTCCATTGAGGAGCCTTAAAATTATCTCTATGAACTATTTTGCCAGTAACATACAGAGAAAGAGAAAGGGAAAATGATGGAGATATATAGAGAGGAGTATACTTAATCACAATTGATGATATAATCGTCTTGGATGAATTACTCACCTACTCTTGTATTTTGCAAAGATAAGCCATGTTTTCATTTAACTATACAGCACCAGACAGTACTACTCCTTAGTTAATCCTGCAGAATTAATAAGCAATGCACAGCAAGCATGTCTAAGCATCTCAAAAATTTTTAAATCAAAAGATTAGAGCAAAAAAAAATTTTTAAAAAATGGGATAGGGCTTAAAAATGATCATATCTTCATGAAACCTACATTGTTCCTGTTTTAGTCATTTAACTACAACCCATTAAGAAACAAGGAAAATGAATAAGGATACAGAATTATCTACTCTGCATTCAAAATTCTAGCAACTACATTAAACAAAAAGTAAGGGGCTGAGGATATAGCTCAGTGTGAGAAGTGTGTGCAAACAATCATAAGGATCTAAGTTCAGATTCCCAGGCTTCACAAAGAAGCAGGGCAAAGTGATACACACATGTAACCCCAACAGTGAGGGAAGAGGGAAAGTCAGGTTCCTGAGTGACTTGATGGACAGACATTGAGAAAAATTGGTAAGCTCCAGTTTCAATGCAATTATGACTCAAAAACAAGGTGGAAAGCAATAGAAAAAGACATTCAAAGTTAATGTCTGGACTTCACACCTGCATATTCATGTACATATCATTTTTAAAAAAGAGCTAAAGAACATAATTTCAAGCCTTTGTAATTAAAAGTTTCATAACTACTGAAACCTTTTATCGGGGCTGGAAAGTGGTTCAGTGGCTAAGAGCACTAACTGCTCTTTTAGAAGACTCCAGTTCGATTCCCAGCATCCACAAAGCAGCACCACCATTTTTAACTCTAGTTTCAGGGTATCCCTTTTCTGGCCTCTGTATTTACCAAGCAGGTATGTGGTACCCAGACATACATTCAGGCAAAATATCCATATATATAAAAAAGAAACAAAAACAAAAATACCCAAGTATGATTAACCTTTGTTTATTGTTGAGACTTTAAAAGATGTTCCAAAATAGCAATAATAGACTATTATCTTTTTAAAAATACTTTACATGATATCCGAACATAACACAAAAACAGAGGACTGTTTCAGCAACTTAAAAATATTTACAATTTTTAAACTTTTTTATCTTGATTTTCTCAGAGAGAATGTTCTAGCAGTTTATGGCTGGAAAATCAGAAATATGAACTACTAGGAAATGCTCTCTGCTTTACTATGATTAAGTATCCCACCCTTTCATGAAGAATCACTGCCACCTACCCTGTAAGACATAGATCTTCTCTTTGTGCTCTACAGCATTATGGAACTCCATTGCAACTGGCATGGCACAAACAGTCATCCAACAGTTCTCTCTGCTGTCATAGCACTCCACGGACTTCAGGGAGTTTCTGCCATCACCTTCATACACACGCCCTCCAATTGCATACATTTTACCACAGCAATACACTAGTTTGCAGCCTATTCTGGCTCGAAGCAAGGATGGCTTGGCTAGCCATCTATTGGTGGAATGGTCATACATCCAAAAATCATTCTCTGCCTTATGGTCGATGGAGACCTCACTGCTGCTTGGCCTGTACCCTCCTGCAATGTAAATGTCATTGTCTGGCGATACCAGAATCCCAACTTCTCTTAGGTCATTTGGTGGTTTGCATAGTTTAAACACTCTTCCTGTGACTATATCTAGACAAGGCACTGTTTGCTTCTTTCCTGAGTGTTTGTGTGCAGCATCAAAACATATGATCATTTCAGAAGCAGTCATTCCGAGTCTCTGCGTACAGCCATTGGTGTTGGATAGTCCTTTTTCCCCATAGCTTTTGGCTATGGCCTGTGCAAACTGAGGTGGAATTTTCTCAATAAATGTATCTTCCATCAAAGGAAAACGTATACATTTGGCAAAAATTTCTGGAAGGTGTACTTCTCTTTCATCCTGCTCGTGTTCAAACCACCTTACAATGCTTTCATAAACATGTTCTTCCCGGTCTACATTTAAATCATCACTATCTAGTATGCTTATGAGTTGGTCTTTCGTCAGCTGAAGAAACTCTTGTTCTTTGGTGACACACAGAAACTTTTTACGGATATATTCTTTTGATCGATCTCCGAGTTCCTGATGGCCATAATGATCAGCAAAGATAAAGACCCCAATAGAATTCTGTGGATCCAAATGACTAATCATATACTTAGCACACTGGTCTTGTATGGAAGGAATTTGGAAGATGCTAGCTGTAGTGAACAAGGCTTGAACATTGGCCTCTGTCAGAATAACTCTAGAGGTATAGGCATAATTCAATACTAAATCCATTGATTCGGCTTCAACACCAATGATTCGAACTTCTTTCTGAGTACTTTCTGTAAGGCCGCTAGTGAACATGGATCTAAGGAAGAAAAAGCAGTCAATATTTTATATGTACCACAAATGACAAGTTCTTAGAAGTATAAAGTTATTGCACAGATAAGCCTTTCAGAAGCAAAATGAATACATTCCTCATGTTCTGAACAGGGACGAACTAGCACAGGACTTAAATCTAGTTAATCCTGAAAGTTCTGTTCTCAGGGCCATTCCACCTTGTGCCAATGGAATTACAAGCATACAATCTAAAAATATGGTACACTAGTAGATTGCTTCAAACTGAAATCAGGTGGGGAATCTAAAGGCCATGTGGCCTGCCACTCTTTAGGTAGAAAGCTATGGAGACTCTTTGAGGAAGGTCAGGATGGTAGTCCTTCACAGACCAAGGCTGGACAACAACCATTATCAGAGTAATTGGGTAATTGTGGCTGAAGTGAGCCTCAACAAAAAAACTCTGAAGTCACTGTATCTTTTAAGTGCTTCTACAACTCCCTCACCCCCCATACATCCCTAAGTAACATCCCCAGAATTTATTGCCCTAATCCAGTAGACTCTCACCCTGACAAATGTATTGTTCTTTGTCTAAGATAAAAATATATTACACTCCAATTATTTGTGTGGACTTCACTTTATTGTAAAAATCCCTCTGCTGCACATAAAATGAATAAGACTCTTATGGGCATCTCTTTTTAATCAGATCTGGGGCTGATTGGGTTTCTTAGTCTCACCAGAGTCCACATAAGACCTAAGAAAGGGAGAGGGTCAGGATTCTGGTCTCACATGCTAACTATGGAAAAAGGAGAATATTGGTAAGAAAGCAAATCATAGTGGCATATTTCAGATCGGATTGTCCTTGGAGCACATATCTAAGTGCCTTGTCAAATTGCCTTACAGATAATGAACTTAAATTGTCACGTCCAAGAAAAAGTTCAAGATATCATAAGGATAGCAAAATTAACCCTAAGCACAGTAAGTCAAATAAAATCTTTGATGGCCCAGTGAAAATTACAAGGAGACTTGTAAGCACAAAGTAAATTTTCATCTCAGAAAGAGAACAGCATTCTTCAAAGATACTTAATTTTTCACCTATGCCTTTTAAAACTGAAATCTTTTTAAAGACCACTTTAGTTATTCTTGGACATTTGAAAACCCTTAAAATAGATACATCTCATTTTAAAGTTAAAGTTTTTTACCTATTTTATATCCATACAAGAAATTATGACAGGGTTAATATAATGCCTTTTTCTATAAAGAATTTAATATTTAATACATTGCTGATTCTATGGAGATTATTTTTAATTTCCCCAACTTACAACCTTAGGGCTAAGCTTCTAAGGTGGGTGAATTGGAGTGGTAAATGATCCCAGGCAAGGGGATGACCATAAATCATAGCATCCTAACAGTAAGTCTGAGAACAGTCTGGCCAAATTGTAATATGTTGCATCAATCAATATAGTCTGTTTTTTTACTTCCTTTAATTGAGTATATTTACAAAAACTTCTTTCCAAAAACAGTAAGCAGATAAAACACTTGGACTTCTTAGTGGGACTCATTTGTAAACATCATTTCCTTTCTGTAAGGTTTCATTCTAAAGAACTTTTTGTTGTTGTTGAGACAAGGTCTTTTTACATAGCCTTGGTTAGTTAGTCTGGAACTCATTATGTAGCCTAGGCTGGCCTTGAACTCAGAGATCCTCCTATGACTCCCCAAGTGCTGGAATTAAAGGCATGCAGTACTAGAACCAACCATTCTAGGAAACTCTTAAATATTTTTAATTCTTCCAAAAATCCCCATGTGTATGCTTCCATTCTTTTTGAAAAACCATGTTGGGGCCTTAATAGAATTTGTTGAAGAAATGGCTGTGGTATTGGAGATAAAAGTAACTGAGAGCCAGACACTTTGAACTTGCTTTGTTATATTTTGTCAAAGTATTCCAAGTGGGAAAATGGGCAGACACCTTTGCAGTCCCTATCAAATACACAGGAACTTTGAGATTTCATTCTTTTGACTTATGTGTATGTATGCACACATGGGAGTGCAGATGCCTGCAAGTTTACAAGAGGGCACTGGATCTCCTGGAGCTGAAGCTACGGTGGTGAGTGCCTTGATATGGGTGTTGCTAACTAAATGTGGATCTTCTGCAAGAGCAGTTAGTGCTCTTAACCACTGAGTCATCTCTCCAGCCTTCAATACACATTTCAAAATGGAGTATGAGAAACCTGGAGAGTACAAGGGTTCAACTTGGTATGCTGATTACTTATCTTTTTGCTTCAATAATGTAAGCTTTAAGTTTAGTATTACCACAGGCTTTGATGAGTACATATCAGATTATTTCTACTATTTGGGCTGGTTTTTAGGTCAGGTGCTAAATGATTCACCTACCAATTAAAAAGAAAAGTCCAGCCCTTCATTAGGTAGACGAGAACAACATCACATATCCCATCTTCATGGAAGCCCCTCTTGCCTTGAGCAGGCTATGCTAACACTCAGGAATGGCCCAGCACCTTGGTGAATTCCCTAAAAGGTTCTTCATGTACTCTAAATACATTGTGAGTACTTACTCCCACAAAATCCCAAGTAGAACATTTTTCATAATCATTAATTTTGACAAATCATTAAATCAGGAAGCAGCCATGTCACATTTCCAGCTGTTCTAATTCTTTCACCTGAGATGCAGGGCTAACGATTAAGTATGATTTCTGAGATTCCCATATCAGGAGGCTCAAGAAACTTGTGTGTAGAAAACAATTTAGGTTTTTAGTTTTCTAGCAGCATCTTTATGTGAATAGTATGTTCAGAAACACTTCCAGGCATATTTTTTTTAAACTTCTTTGAAACTAAAATCTATGGTAACCATACTTTTGTGTAGGCACTCAAATATAATTTTAATTATACATGACATTTATATGGTACTATCTAGAGAAATTTTTCCTTTGAAGATCCTATTACTCAAAGATAATAGTTTTTATTAGAAAAGGAACTAATGAAGACCCACTTTTGTTCTTTACGTGTCACACAGTAGGAAATCTAGTTTTATACCAAAATCTAGCTCTGCCATTTGAATGACTTAGATCACACTCACTGAATCTTTTTTCACATGAATGGGATATGCATATATGTATTTCATATAAGATAATATTAAGATATTATAGGAGACAGTACAAATGAAGTAAGCTTCATTCAGAGTTTGGTGAGGAGTAACTGGGACATATATCAAACACATACATGATGAGCAACAGTGGTTTCCACTGCCAGGCCAAACTTGTATTCTCTATGTTTCATCTTTTTTTTTCCCCCTTTCCTTTCTGGCTTTCTATCTGTGAAAATACTTAGTAGTTCAAAGGCCTACCCAAGACAAGTGAAAATGGTTTAAAGTATCATACCGACTAACTATATTCAACCCAGCATTCTGAGAAAGAGGAACAAGAAACTAATAAATGCAACATCATAGTGGGATGTGCCCTATAAGCACCTCAGAAGATAAAGCAGGAGTGTGGCTGACAAGACGTTCTTCCTGTCATTCATCAACCACTTCTGAATACTGAAGGGCTTTTACGAGAAATACCTGAAACAAAACATTTATGCTCAGGTAGAAAGGTACCTTTTCCAATCACCTGTTTTTAGAATAAGAACTTAGTTTTCAGACCCAAGCTTACAATGTTCACTTTTCAGTATTTTATGAAAGTGAAAAAAGCAATACTTTTGGGAACCCTGGAAATGAAGACATAAACTTTTTCATTTCACTTATCCCACTACTTTTTAGAAAACTCCATGGCATTAAAACAATCTACTAAATCCTGATTTACTGGTAAAGGAACACGTTTCTATGTTTTAAACTAAAAACAGTTATACATACTAAAAAAGTGAATTTTTAAAAATAAATTATAAAACTTCCAAAGACTAAAACACAGTATGCCCAATATGGCAGGCACCAGCCACATGTGAGCTGCCTGTGCACTTGACATGTTTTAGTTTAGCTGAGTTACTGAATGCTTTAATTTTAAAGAATTATATGTTCACGTGTGGCAGGCGTCTTCCAAATTGGGGAACACGTCATACAGACGTCCACTAACTTAAAATCCAACTATCTTAAACCCCACAGTTCAAAACAAGGGCTCATTAATAAGACAAGGCCTGTTACCTACTCTGAGAAAACAAACGTATTGCTTGCCTTTATTTGTCCCAAGTTAGTATAAAAACCAAGTGGGTAATACTGGCGATGAAAGGGAGGCTAGTATGTATGGTAATACAACCTCTACCGTCGTCATACCTGAAGTAGGGGCTGATTGCAGCAAGAACGTTTCTGTGGCAGGAAAATGTTTTCCCGTGATCCACTTCCACTACAATGTCTGTCAACTGTCCTTCATCGTACATTGTTTTGAGTTGCTTAAGAATACTGCAAGCATGGAAGGGGTCCATGGCTTCGTTGGTTGTATCTGAAGACGGAATTCCATTCGTTGTTGGGGAAGACTTACTTAAATCTAGGAGAAAATATTCGCACAAACACAAGGAGTTCGAAGCCAGTTGCTGCGACGTTTGTTTTTAGCCCCCACCCTTTACACAAAATCCCGAGTCTAGGCACAGGACCGCCAGTGTGGGCTCTGGGAGACGAGAGCCCAGCGAGAAGAACGAGTTCCCAGGCCGGTGCGCTCCTTGGGAGCCCGGCGAGCCCGGACCGCCGCGCTCGCGGAGGGAGGGTGTGAGGCGAGCCAGCCGAACCGGCGGCGGCGGAGACTCGGCTCGGGGCCGAGCGCGGAGCGAGAGCCTCCCGAGGGCGAACGCCAGGGCGCCCCTCAACCGCCTCGCGGGCGGCCGGTACCCAGTCTCTGCGGGCGCGCCGCCCACCGCCCTCCTCCCCATTCATCTTCGCCCCCGCGCCTGCCGCCTCTCCATCCTTCCCTCCCGCCTTACGGCCGCCTCCCCGGGTCGGGGCCGGCAGCCGCGCTCCTGCTTCCCTCCTCAGCACCGCGGCGGCCGCAGCACGCCACCCACCTGCCGACGCGGCCATTTCTCCAAGGGGCCCCGGCTCCGGTTATTTAAAGAGGAAATGTCATTGCGTTTCGCTCGCTCCCGGGTTCCGGCTCTACTAAGCGTCGCCTAGCCAATGGGGGTGGCTGACCAGGCCGGCTCCTCCCCGGGCCTCGAAATGCATAGCGCTGATTGGCCAGTATACGAGCACTTGCGCATCGGGAAATGTAGTTTTAGTGTCCCCGTTCCCGCGTGCTCCTTGTCGAGCTGAGACCCAAGCCGGGCGTTCCTATTGGCTAGCTGGGAGGAGGAGACGAGCCCTGAACCCGCCAGCTGGTGATTGTGAGATGCGCAGCGCCCGCCGGGAAATGTAGTCCTCTGCCTGAGGAGCGCTGTCACTCTGAGGCGTGAGGTAGGAAAAGTTCTTTTAGCTCAAATTTCCCTGGCTAAGGCCTCTCTCCGTTTTAAAAATCAATCTCTTCATTCCCCAAACCCCCTTCCTGTGACTAGATTCCTGTATGAAAACGCGCTCCACGTGAGGGCTTTGAAACTCTGAAAAGTTGGAAATGGTCAGGAGGGCTGTTATCCAAAAATGCAAAGGAAATAAGACACCCTCGCCCAGAAGAAAAATATCAGTAGGCCCCAAAGCAAACCTCTGATGAGTCACTTGTGACATCCACTTGAAATTGCGTCACCTTAGTCACATGGCCTGCTTTTCACAGATGAGCTGGGTCTGGTTACAAGGCCACTCAGAACCTGAATCCACTTGGCTTACCTTCAGCTCAACCAGGAAACACCTGTCCCACTGAAGAGTACAGGAGCGCCAGATGGGGGCCCAGATGATTGATTTCCCCTGGGCTTCTTGACAGGGAAGAGGTCCTCTGGGCTTTCCTGGGAAGAGGTGCCAGAGAGAGGCTAAGCCTGGAGCTTGTCAGGACAGTGCTGAAGTCCTCCAGACTCCTACACAAGTTCTTCCAGCTCTGGAGCGTAGATCCTTTACCCTAACATATAAACAACAGTTGGCATTCTGTCTACCTCACAGTCTTTTGCAAAAAGAGCAGAAATTGTATCCTTTACCTGATTTTTTTTTTCTTCCATTATGTGTGTTTTTGCATGGGTGGGGGTGCGGTATGGAGGCGGATCACGTGTGTGCATGCAAAGTGAAGGCCCAAGATTGATGTTGGAAATTCTATATTGTTGCTTTTCTACCTTATCCAGTGAAGCACGATCTCTCAATGAAACTCAGAGATCACACATACAGCTAGTCTTTCCAAACAGCTTGCTCTGGGGATTCCTTGTCTTTGCCTTCCTAGGTTGGGTTCTGAAGACTCGAACATCTCTCCTCCTCACACTTGGCATGACTAGCACTATAATCACCGAGCCATCTTCCCAACCCCTTTGTTGGTCTTTTCTGATTTCTTCGTCCTGTTTCTGGCATCTAACAGGATGCCACATTATAAAAACCTAAAGAAAAAATTAATGTAAAACAGAAGTGAGCAAACACTGGGAATGCATCTTGGAATCAGTGAATGGGGGGGGCGGCTTTAGTTAATTCACGATCATAACTTTCCTAGTATTGGAAAGATCAAGTAGTTGAATGGTATTTATTATATAGCTGTAAGTTGAACCAGAAGCCTCATGCAAGCATACTGTCAGCCCCAGGTGAACTTATTAAAGAGTCTTGATTGTTTTTTAAACCTATGATTGAAAAAGAGTGGGAAACATTTAAAATAATTGAGCTCTATTCCCCTAAGTGTGCTAGAAACTCAAAGTCCTGTCGGGGCCCAGATAGATGGCTCTGCTACATCTTGGTTTAAAGTCAAAGAATTCAAAAGGACTAATGAGTGGCTTCTGTAGGATGTTTAGTCTTAGGCATGGATGTCTTATCTAAATAACAAGAGACTTGCTCTGAGGTAACTCTTGATCTTCAAGGCCAGATAATGGGAAATTTAGTCTAAGGCATAGTTACCAAATGTTTGTTCCTTGTATCTCGATAAAGAAGTCTTTTGCCATTTTCCCCTTTTTTGGTTGGGATATTTAAGAATGTTGAGCATTCTTGGAGCATTCAGTATTGACTGAATACCCTCCTGATTCTCTTCTGTGTCTTTCTCTCCCTTACTATCTTTACCGGCCATTTCTCAATCCATACTCCCCCTCTCAGGTACAAACCAGGCAAGTGGGCTGGATCCGACTGAAGCACCACAAAGACAGGTTACAACAAAGTCCCAAGTACTACACTGCTATATGAAAGAATGAGATGTGCTTCCAGGGGATTGGGCCTTATGGACATCATTCACATTCCTTGCTTATGAAACACAAAAAGCTTATTTATCAGCATAGTCTTTACATAATGGATTTGATTTCACTTTTGTTACTTCTAATTTGAATTTATGTTTCTCACATATTCAATTTACTAAAATGATTTTGCTCACAATATTGAGGACACTAAGAAAAAATGGAATTAATTCTCAGGATAGACTTAGCAAATAAAGCACAGAGCATACATTTTTGGGGGAGCATGCTACTGAATGTTTAACTGAAGTTCAAATTTAATCAGCAAATTTCCAATCCTGTTAAAAGAAGGGAAATTTTACTTACTCTTGAAGAGACACTTACACATTTTTCTCTTTTTTGTTTTAAATCCTTGAAATGCAAGGGTCTAGCTACATAGCCCAGGAACTTGATCTTCCTGACTCAAACTTCTGAGTGCTGGATACATGGTCAAGTCTCCAAGCCCAACTCAATTTTCTATTTAATTCTGATTCTGAACTAATTAAATAATTCACTTTTCCTATTGCTAAATTAACTAAAAGAAAGCTTCGTCTTCCTGTAACGGACAAAAATTTGTCAGCTTGGGGATAGGTCAGATTACAAAGTACAGAAAGTAAATCTAAATTTGAGAAATTAAAAAAAAGAGTAGTTACAAGCTTTCCAATCATATGACACTCTATAAATAGACTCCACTGCTGACCAGGTGATATTGCTCTGTGACGATTTTATTATTTTGATACATGTTTTAAACAGAGTAAGTAGAGGGATCTCAAAGTTGAAAGAGTATTTCTACAAATTCTCAGTGCTTTTTACTACAGAGAAGGTTCTGTTCCAGAGTAGATAACAAATGGCCCAAAGCTATAGTTTTATTTTTTAAATAAGGCAGCTCTAAGTCTACAGTTGGCAAGAATCTACAAAGCCTTAGCCTGGAAAGACAACAGCAAAAGTAACGCAGTTTCCTTAAAGTATTCAGCACTGTGTTGACCCTTGAAGCAATTCTCTTACATAGTTACAGCTCAGAGTAAAATATATAAAGGATGGAAATTGTAAAAGCAACCCAAATATGCTAAGAACTGCACTTAAGTTAGACACTGGAGATTTGTTATTGTATATATTACCTGGGAACCAAAAGCAAAGAGGACCACTGTGATAGTGGCTTGAGAAAAGTCTTGGCCTTTCAGTTATAGAGAAGATAAAGGATGATGGAAGCAACAAATTTGAAAAATGAGGAGGGAAATGCAGCCACCTTTTTGTGTGTGCCTTCACATATAGAGAATGGCTTTTAGCAATTATCAGTTGTGCACAGGTGACTGTCAATAACGGTCCCACACTACACACAGCTCTGATGTGATAGCAGCTTTGATGGAGGAGGAGGGAGAGAAAATAAGAGCTCACTTCTGCAAATCGATTCTGCAGCTTTCCAATTTCCTCGTTCCGTGCTGTGCAGGCTGTGAGATTAACCAGTGCTGTATAAAATGAAAGAAAGTGAGAAGGGACACTGACGACTCTTACCTCTCAGCAAATGACATCCTTACACATTTATCTTTCTCAGCTGCAATCTACTTGATGTGCCCAATGTGGCATTTTCCTTGGTTTTTGTATTAGCTGCATTAATGCTTGGAATGAAGCAACAGAGTCAATTTTTTTTCAATATAAATGTAATATAATTACAGGTGCTATTCTTTTTAATTCTGAGATCTATACTTTGCATATGGTTTACTTTATTTTTAAATACACAATCTAAGCATTAAGTCCATCTATTGGGTGTTTCACTATTGTACCTCTTATATAATGGTAATAACTAGAAGACTATATTTTTCAAACACTGAATTTTATTATACCAATGGATAGTAAAATGCATTAATTTGCCCTTTTAGTGCTTGTAATTTAGCCTACATAAGAAGGAAACTATGGATGAAAATAATGGTGTGAATATTTAATTTCTCCAAAAAAGAGACTTTTTTTGTTTTGTTCTTTGAAACAGGGTCTCATTATTTGCTCTGGCTGTCCTGGAACTTACAATGCAGAGCAGGCTGGCCTTAAACTAGCAGAGATTTGCTTGCCTCTGCCTCCAGAGTGCTCAGATGAAAGGTGTGCACCACCACACCAGGCTTCAAAAGTAGTTTTCTTCTCACCACTCCTGAATTCTGGGAAGACATTGTGTGCTGCAGGGATGATAACAAGGGAAGAGAGGAAGGAAAGTGGGAAGGGAAGGACAGGAGAAGGAGGGAGGGAAGGGCAAAGGAAGTTCTAACTTAGAACTTGTTTATGGAGGTAAAGCATTCAAATGAAAATCAGCTCAATCATGAGGGCTGATGGCACACTCCAGTTAGATAAGATAGATATATCAGACAATAGGTTATGGATTTCAGAAGCACCAAGAGATCCTGTTTACTTGTAGAAGTTAAGCCAGGCATCAAAGCAGGGTGAGTTATGGAAATACTTGCCAAAGCAGTAGATTCTTTATTTCTCTTAGCTTGGCCTCCAAGGTAAAACATTAACTACATGTACCTTCCTATTGCTAAGACTTAATTAAGAACTGAACAAGGAATGATAATTAATAGCTATAAATCACCTACTTTATTTCACTAAAACTACATGCTTTAGTTAAATTTGATATGACTTGCTATATGATATGACTACTGAAATACTGTGAGCTATACTTAAGCTCACAGTATTTCAGTAGTTGTGTAAGGGTCTTTGGATACAGATCTTTTGATTATACTAAGAAGTTCCAGTGACTGATATTGAGAAGATATTTTAACATTTCTCTTCATTAAACATGCCTATTTCTGGGTCAGACACAAGGTAATCCAGAATCAGCCAGGAATGATGAGTGCATAAGTTTAAGAAACCTTTATTAAAAGAATAAATAAAAACCAAAATACAGAGGGTAAAGTCACACTGCTA